TGTGTGTGTGTGTGTGTGTGTGTGTGTGTGTGTGTGTGTGTGTGTGTTTGTGTGTGTGTGTGTGTGTGTGTGTGTGTTGACACATCAAGTTGACTAAAATGTGGTATCTCACTTGTTCCATTACATTAGTTTCCATTGCCTGTTAAATCAGCAATAGATCAAAGGATCGCCCTCAACAAAGGCACTTACACCCAGTGCTATTACATCAAACTGCCTTGTCAAAAAAATATTGTAGAGAGAGGCACAGAGCGATGAGGAGATCAAGGGTGACAGTAAAAAAAAAAGATGAGAAGAGAGAAACACAGACAGACGGAGGAAAGAAAAGGAAGAAAAAAGGAAAGACAAAGAGGAGAGCGTTTACTGGTGTTGACGTCTCAGAGAGCTGTGACGCTTTAATGCTCTTGTTGAGTTTCCAGCAGGGTTTTCAGCTTACACACACACACACACACACACACACACACACACACGCGCGCACACACACACACACACACACACAGGCTACACACACTTTGCAAAGCAAAGAAGAGCAGAAGTGCTTCACCGTGTGTTTACACATATTCTCCAGTGGTTTACTCAAGTCCTCCAACCAACGTGGGGTGTGTGTGTGTGTGTGTGTGTGCGATTGCATGTGCACGTCTCCTTCCGTCTCTATAAATTCTTGAACAAAGTACTTATCTCTTCATGTTGAAAATCTTTCTAAATGATTATTTGGCAATGTATTTCATTACATTATTGCACTCATCAGTTTACTTTGCTTAACGTGATTTACAATATGAATCTCTGCTGAATCTCGATATCATCAAAACGTCTACATCTCTCCCAGAAAAAACAATGAACAGCATGTATAATACAGGTGCTTAGACGTCATGTATTTTCTTATTTAGTTTGTGAAATGAGACATCAATTACTGCTATTATGACATGTCGAGGTGTAGACTGAAACAGCGGGTTTTCTTCTTAAAAGACATCATTCGCTCTTTTACTGGTCTTTTTTTGAATGAAAACATAGATCGGTCTACATAGCACTTAATAAAATAATTCCCCATTTTAGTAAATCCACTTTTGAGAGTTGAATAAGAAGATTAATATGACTCTCATGTTTGTAGAGTAAATATGAAGCTACAGCCAGCAGCTGATTAGCTTAGCTGGAAACAGCTAACCAGCCTCTGTCCAATGGTAACAGAATTCTCCTACCAGCACCTTTTGCACACCAATTTACAAGTTATCGATTTGTTTAAACCGTACAAAAGAAGTGTAAACACAGTGTTATTAAGACCTTTGGAGTGACCCAACTGCCAACAACTGCCCATTCACTACTGCAGTAACAAACATATCCTGCCCTCTCACCTCCTGTTCCATTGGTGGTGATGGAGGGGCTGCCAAGGTTGTTCTTGTCCAGCTTGGAGCCCGTCGAATCTCCACCTCCCACACGGTTATGAGGACTGGCTAGGTCCTGCATTTCCATAGACCTACAGGGAGGGAGGGAGGGGGAGGAGGGGGAGGAAAGGAACAAAGATGAACTGCGATTTTTGAATGAATAGCAGATCAACAGCAATATGCTCTCACAGCTGGGAATCTCCAACCTCTATATATTACGTTGAGATCTCACTGAACACATTCAATGACATACTGCATATCCACACAGGAACCACACACACACACACACACAGACACACACACACACACACGCACACACACGTGTCATAAACTCCATGCTTCTCCGTACCAGTTAGCTTACATGAGCATGTGTTCAGAGGCGCTAGACATTGTCTGCGGGCCTGCTGGCTCTTTTATGGAGTGTGTGTGAGTGTGTGTGTGTGCACTTCTGGGCTCCAATACAAACCCACAGCCTGCCAGCATGCTTTAGTTTTACAATGTGTTCCACATGCATGACTGGAACCAGCATACAAAGTGGTAATGGTGAAGTGAGAGTGTGTGTGGAGTAAGAGGAAGTAAATAAAGACATGAAGAGAATGGAGATGCACATTCATGGTAGAAATCTGTCTTTCATACATCAGTGTTTATTTGTTTATTTGGATCCTGATTACCTGTTAACACGACAACAATCACTCACACTGGGGTTCACAACCCCTACCGAGAGGTGTAAGTGTTTTAATACACTTCATGAATGGACACTGTAAGAAAAGCAACATTAAACACTTTTTCTCGACTCTTCCTCACTGTTGCCACAAACCCACATTTTGACATGTCCTTTGGTGGCAGACATAGTTTAATGTTGACTCAGTGTGTGTGTATGGACAGTACCTCATATGAACGTGTCCGTGCATGTGTGTGTGTGTGTGTGTGTGTGTGTGAACCCTGACTCACGCCGCCCGCAGGTTGGTCACAGGCGGGCTCTTGTGTGAGAGATCAAAGCGAGAAATGACAGAGATGGAGGGAGAATTAAACAAATGCGGGCTGCCGTCCTGCCAATCTGTGTGTATGTGCGTGTGCGTGTGTGTGTGTACTAAAAGGGAGTGTGTACAATACATTTGTGTCATTGTCTGGAAGCTGGCCATCGCAATGCTATAGGCAGATAGCATCGCCACACATGACTGCAACCCACAGTCAGACTGACAGGTATGAACATATAGCTTTGAGTCGACGAGAAAGACACCGCTGAAAGGGCGCAAAAGAGAAACCATACGAAAGATAAACGCGCTAAATCAACTCTCGCCGTCAACTCTTCATTCTTCTTATTTACAGAGAAACATTCATTCTGCTCTCCTGTACATTTTGAACACTTGCAACTGTTTTAACACCAACACCGCATTATTGTGGATGAGATATTGAGCCAAGCAGTAACTTCAAACACGGGCCTAGAAATATATCGGCTTTACATGGAAATAACAGTTAAGAACTTTCACAGATTACAGTGCCCTCTCTCTCTCTCTCTCTCTCTCTCTCTCTCTCTCTCTCTCTCTTGCTTCAACACTCTTCATTCATCCTTTTCTTTTGTCTCTCAACAGCAGGAAATGATTCTGTCTCTCCCCTCCGTGTACTTTTTTTCCCTTCCCTCTCTGTTTCACTCCTCTCGGGAGGCGATGGCAGGAGTTGGTGTTTCATAAACTCTTTTCTGGTTTTCGCATTATGTCTGGTCATTGAAAAAATATGCTTAGTGCAATACACAGTGTATGCTGTATTGTGTTAAATAAATAGTTTTAGGGCCAACAATTACTTTCACTATTGATTCATCTGCTATCGTCATTCGTTTTTTACTGAATGTAAATAAATAAATGAAAAAACACCCATCGCAACTTCCCAGAGCCCAAGGTGACGACTTTAAACGTCTTGTTTTCTGCGACCAAAAGCCCCAAACCAAAATAAATTTGGTTAACAATGATGTATTCTCATTCGAGAAGCTAGAACCGGAGAATATTTGAATGACGGAAATGATTAATCAATTATCAAAATAGCTGCTGATTATTTTCAATCAATTAATCGACTAATAGCTGTAAAGAAATGACTGTGTGTACAGCATGCTGCCTTTGCTTGTCCTTGGATTTGATCAGTACATCTTTTCCTCTGTGTGTGTGTGTGTGTGTGTGTCAGACACTGAGTTCTTGGGAAAGTGTTGATGACCTCATCACAGCTTGCAACTGCAGTGAAACCTCACCTCTCTGCACCATGATCAGAGAACTAGGACACACACAAACACACACACACACACACACACACACACACACACACACACACAAACACACACAGAGACTTCTGAAAAATGTAATGTTGTTTACCTGGTGTCCGAAGGGTCTGGAACATGAGATTCACTGTGTGATTTCTTCACCTGCACAGACACCAGAGCAGAGGTTAACTAAACACACACATTACATTAGTGTTTAATGGGGCATAAACCAGCCTCATAAACCAGCGTTTACAAATCAAAAAAATTATATTAGTATCATGTACTGTTGTGAATAACAACAAAATAAATTCCTGCCATCGAGTCTTTGAATGTTACCACACAATGCAGGATTCATGATAAATCAAAACCCGGTGTCCGTAGTTGTAGCCACCACCGTGACAGAAGTGCTAACTGGCATCTAAGTGACAGATATTAACTTTCCCTTGTTCACCCGTGACCCTGCTGCATCCGGAGCTCAAGCCCCTTCCTCAACCCTTAGAGTTGGAGGGTCACGGTGGGGTCACTCCTCACCCTTAAACGCGTCACCATAGACACTAAATTGAGCATGGACTTTGGAGGGTAACCGAGACATGAGGTCGTGGCAAATCACCGCGTGCTGGAACTTTTCCTTCATCATTGAAGAAAAAAAGAAAAGAAGAAGAATTAAGAAAACACACTTCAGCCTCAATGCCTTTCCACCGTAGCATACACTCACCGCACTCACACACAGACTGACTTCATGTTGGTGTGTGTGTGGGTATGCGGCGCTAGGCGGCCGACCAGCGGTTCTCTATTAAAATTCCTCTCTCTTATTTGGAACAGGAACTAATTAGAACAGTAAATGCAGGGCGGAGCGAGGGCCAATGTGTACCAGCTGCCCTATAATTACTGTGTCAACACACTGTCGAGGTGTAGGGCACGCGCGAGGTGCCAAACACACACATACACACACACCCGCACATGGAAATACACATACAAACACACATACACGGTCAAATTCACCCACGCAGCATATATTCAAGTCATTTGCACATTATCGCAATCACAGGTAAGTGTACAGAGAAAGTGCTTGGCCAAGCAGACACCAAACGCCAGGTATTTTGAAACTAGGACATCTGTGTGTGTGTGTGTGTGTTAGTGTGCGATGTGGTGTTATGGTTCTGATTAGAAGATCCTGCTGAGAGCGAATAAGAAGCAGCACTTAGCTGTTTAAGACAGGGTTCAAAGGTTAGCCGGTGCCCTCGTATGGATCACTTTACATACGCACACACACACACCCACACACACAAGCCACTTTCATGTCACGTTTCATGCTTTACTGAAATTTAACAAGGCTGTCAGTCACGACATCACCAGCGTGGCCGTGAGAAACTGCAAGCCACATGTAACGCACACGTAGGGCTACATACAAACGAGGGTGCTCACACGGCCCGCATGTGCGTCCGCACACACACACACACACACACACACAGAGAAACACAACTGTCTGTCTGTTTCTGTCTCAACACGATCTGTAAAAACACAAGCACACAAGGGCTTTGATCCTGAAAAGCTTTTATCATTGTGCTTTATCCGTTGCACACTTTCTCTCAGTGTCCGCCTCTCGGAGTCTCTCACATCTCTCAATGTTTCACTGCTTTTATCTGCGTCCATGAAAAACACTCCATATTTAATACAATTCCATGCATGGATTTAGTTTGTTTCTTTATCACATTTTAAAAATGATGTGAAACGTTTCTTTTTTTTCTGCTCAGTGCTGAAACTTTTTTTTACTTGTTTTAGCTGTCGTCAATAGAGAGTCATCAAGACCAATACACGAAGGTTTATGATCCAATCGAGACCCCTAAAAACTACCCTGCTGATGAAAACCTCTCATACAATAATGAAGCATCGTGCTCACTAACTCCTGCATTCAGATATTCTGCATCATTCTCTCTTCTTCCGTATCTAGCAATAACACAGGCCCAATTTCATCTCTAATAACAAAACGAAGGGCCTCTAAGCGTACTCGTAGATGACCACGATATCTGAAGGACCCATTTGTGTCATCTGAGCCATTTAAATAGGTGACCTTTGACCCGGTTGGCCAGGTGACCGGTCTGGAACACAACCTGCCCGGCCCGGGGAATCCCTGAGGGATAAATACAGGTACCCCAGGTAATTAGCTCTAATAACAATGATTTATTTAAGGGAATTACACACTGCTATGTTTGTGTTGTTACTAACGTATGCTATTTATCATCTAATGGCTGTAATGATAACATGAAGCCTAATTTGACCCCAGTATTAAGAAAACAGTAGGTGTGAATCAGAAATAAGCAGAAGCAGTCTTAGTTCAGGTCCGCTGTATTTTGCTGTCATAAAAGGTGCATCGACAAGGTTTGTGGTATTGTTTCTGGCAAACTGCAAAAACATTGCACAGGAAGAGAAGAGAGGTAGGGACGGAGAGAGAATGAAGAATAGCTCTGTGTGTTCCTGGTAATAACCCAACCCATCTGCAATGGGCCATTTGATACCATGCATAGAGTTGCACACACACACACAGACACACACACATTGGTATATGAGGGCTTTAAGAAAATCTCTTTTACAATTTTTGCGCTCATGTAAAAGGAGCTTTTAGATAATCAAGTTAAGAAAATTATTTTTAATAATCAAGAAAAAATTGCAAATCCATGATTTTTAATTGTTACGCGGCTCATGAAATTACCATTTTTTATGAGGGAGGTTTGTATTAGATAAATTCAAGAACAGATCTGTGTTCCTAAATAAAAACTAAAATGTCACACAAAAAAGTAAGAAGAATATCTAAAATATTGAATGACAATTATCTAAAATTAAAAAACTGTCCAAATACAAAAGGTAAAAGCATGAAGAAGAAATTATTAAATTCAATTTATTTTTCACAAATTGCTTTGAAATATTTAAAGAGTAAACTAACTTAACTCAGAATGATACCCTGAAAAAATTACAGTACTTTCATCATAACCTACTAACCCTATTTGTTCAGATGCTCTGAAAATTGCATCCATTCAGACAAATTAAATATATATTTTTTAGATGTCGAATAGCAATTTTCATCTTTCCTTTACATGCAGCAGCATTTATTCATCCAGTGTGACTAGCGAAATAGAATATTAAATATCGTCACATTACAGAAAACACTACAACTGATTTAAATAAATTACAGCAGGAGTTTGAGCATGAAACACACTCACAAAGCGATCCATTCTTACCTCAGGGTGTAATCAGGTCAGGTAGCAGTCCTATACTTCCACAAAGCATTACAGAGCTGTACGATCCACTGGCGTGCTGGTCTCACACACAACCAGAAACACACGCACACTCCTCCAAACTTCAACTCGTCGCGATCTACCTGCCTCTCACTCTGTACTCCAGGTGTCAGGTTTTTCTCCTTTTTACTTTCTAGTAGAACTGCGGTCTTCTTCTCTTTCTCTACGAACAAACATGCAGCTGCTGGAGAAAAGACACAAACGGGCAAAAGAAACTACGCTTGTCTCCTCGGGTCAATCCATGCACAGCTCCTGTCTTCCTTGACTCCAGTAATGGGGAACATTTCACTCGTCCTGTTTCTCTCCTCCTCTGCCTCCTCCCCCTCTTTTTCTCTCCTCCTCCTCCCCCTCATCATCTCTCTCTCGCTCTCTCTCTCTCTCTCTCTCACTCTCTCTCTCTCTGCTGTCACTCACTGCAGACTCACTCAAGCTTTCATTTAAAGCCAAAGAACTTTTCAAATGTAACAGATGTAGCCTTTTTAGACACAAATAAACTGAATTCCACATTGCAAGCAGCCCGTGTCTGAAAATATAACATAACTCAAAAAGTCAGAGCCCCCAAAATTAGAAACATCCGTGTATGTGACTGAAATCCTGCTGACGGTAGCTCTAGCGTGATTAAGTCCGCAAAGCTAAGGCGGTAAATGGAGATGTGGTGTGGCTGTGATGTCAATGTCTTGCTGTGCAGTACAAAGTACAGGCCAGGCCATAAACTTCACACCATGCAATCCCCCCTACATCTCACCACACACAAACTCACATGTACACCTGAACACACGAACACACACATTCAGTCCGAGTTAGTTGCAACCACACGGGGCTGGATGTGTGCATTATACTGTATGTGAAGTGTAGCTGAGCTGGAGGGGATGGGTGAGGGTGTCGTGTCAACTAGGTGGATTCCTAGCTGCCTCGGTCTGAAGATGGCACTCTTTCGCTTTGGTCTTCAAGGTGTTGTCTGGGGAGGCCCACGCCCAAACCGCACACTTAAACCAGCGTCGACGTCTGACCATTCTCGTCCAAAATACCGTCGCTAACTTTACCACACTAATACAAATTTAAAAGGATAATCATTTCTCTCTCACCTCTCATGGTATTAAGTTCAGGTTTTGAGGTTTCTGCCTCAAACTTCAGTGGAAGTACTTTCTACCTATGGAAACTCTTAAAGTTATCATTCAGACATGCATTGTAACATCTTTCTTTTCTTAGGCTACTTATCGTTTTACTCACGTCCAACCTCACATCCATTCTGGTTTGAAACGCACATCAGAATAGGATTTGTTGGGCTATCCGGCTAACAGTACCCTGAAAGAATGCATTTTGTACAGACGGGATTTGCAATTGGAAGCATCTATGTTATTTTACGAAGTTTGTCGGAAATTCTGCCGATTCTGGTTTACCATACTGTTTTTAAGCACCACTTTTAATCTCGGTCTTCTTTGTGCTGTTAAATGGCTGTGGCACTGAGTTGTACTGATTTAAATGTAATCCAATTGTGGCAATCTGACCAACAGTTAATTCTGTATTGGGAAAATAGCAGAGTATAGACCTAAACATTATGTATTTCCTTTTTTACGTTACCATAGAAAAAACAACTAAATATCCTAATGTAGTAATGGATTTTGATACAGTGAATATTGAGGTATGGGATATACTTTACGGCCAAAGATCTAAACACTCAGCTGGCAAATAAAACAAGAATATGCATGGCTAGACTCCACTATAATGAAGTGAGATCTTTTTCTAATTTGGGTAAACCGACCCTTTAACAGCACAGACCAGTTACAATGTTATTGTACATCTACGGTGCAGAAGAAAACAGCTAGGAAGGGTGCAGTACGTACGTACACAGGCCTAGAGACCAATTTG